TCAACGAAGGGGTGATTAACAAAGACTAAACTGAAAAACGTCAGAGGTTTTCTTTAAATTTAAAAAAAAAAAAAAAAGAGGTCAGATTTTCATGATGACGGATTGTGAGTGACCTAAACCTATGACTAGAAGCATCGTACCCTCTCCAAACAGGCAAAGACTAAATTAATTAAGTGATATCAACTTGTAATAATATATTTATACTTCCCTTCATGCAATTTTCATGCATGTGAGTCTCCAAATTATTCAGTATTTTCGACGACTAAGTATTCATTTACTTAATTTATATTTTATTTGACCAATATCACGTTTCCCTAATGAACTCAAGGGGCATGCGATGTTGGGTGTGTTAAGTAATCAAAGGGTCTGGGTTGGGTTGTGGTTGGTTGGTGTGTCGGCTTGGGTGTTGGATGGCGAGTTCGGCGGTGCTTAAGTGGCCAGTGGGCTAGCCGACTGGAAATAGAGAGAGAGAAACAGCCTGAGTTAAAAACCATGCTATCGAGTTATAATTTTTTATTTATTTAAAACATGTGTTATCTTGTTAGTGGGCCACGTCATCTTCTAAGGAGGAATTATTTCTCCTAAATCATGAGCCAATTAATTTTCCCTTTTGTCCCTCATGTCATGCACATGATCAAAATTGACTATAAAAAGCTAACAGAACAAACTATAGAACCTTTATTCCTAACAAAAGTGAAGTTCAAGGACTACCGTTATTATTTTGAAAATTGAAGAACCAAAATGCGAATCAGACCAAAATTCATGAACCATTTGACCTAAAAATCCTTTTATATTTTGACGACTCCCTAGTATAGAATTATTTATTTTATTTTTCATGCAAATTGCCAAGAAGGCTCATTACAACAATCATAAAAGGCACAAATTTCAGAAGGGCACCGGTCACAAGCATCATATAACTTCCAATGATGGGGTACAAAAGGTAAACTTATATAAGGTAATAGAAAATGTGTATTCTCTAGAAAAGAGGCCCTTAATTTATTATTTCTGCGGCTAATACGACAAAATTATTTGTTCCAACGTCAACGAAATGGTAATAGAAAATAAAACGAACTTTGGATTTCTCAAGACATTTCCTTATTCTGAAGATTCACTTTTGCGTCCAACAGTGACAGTAGGTGATATCGGCAAGTTATTAGCGAGGGTGAATGGCGCAGTGTGTCCGTGGCAGTGAGACCAAAATGGCAGCCGCAGCCAAGAATGCTATGATACTGTCTCCATGGACTAGAGAAATATGTACTACAAAGAGACCTTATGTGTCTCCGAAACTGCACCATCCAACGTACTTTCTGTTTGTGCCAGTGAAACCGAGACTTACTGTAAGCATTCGCGTCCTCACACAGCTTGCCAAAGCAGAAGTCCTTTGGATGAACATGATCAAGAATAGTTCCGAAATCAATCAAATATTGGTCTCCTACCCAACTTGGATTTATGATCCTTTTTTTCTGAAGGAGTTTGATGTCCTCTTCGGAACGGATGAGACTCTTCATGAGGATGGCATACGAAGTAATATGATGTATCCAAATAAAATATTGCGTGCATCCGGGTCATAGGCTCTTAGAGCATTTCCAGCAAGCATGCTGGGGGGAGGGCTGGGGGAAAATTGGGTTTCCAGCAACACAAAGCTGCCAGGGCGAGGTGTGGGCCCCAGCAAAAAAAATTTGCCTGGGCTAGCCCTTGGGGAGGTCCAGCCCGAGCAACTAAACTCGTTTTGGGCTGACATCAGCGCAGCGGTTTAAATTTTTTTAACGTTGGCGCGTGCAACGCACGCGCCAACCTTAAAAAAAAAATGACGCGCCCGCTACAGTGACCCGCCAACGGGTCTATTCCACGTGGCGCGCACTGAAGCTGTCCGATCAACTTTAGACAAATCCAACGCTTCTCATTTTTCACGAATAAAAAAATGAAAAAAAAAAATCGGAAGTCGCACCCAACGGCTCTCTTCCACGTGGCGATGCTCTGGGCGCTCCGATGAAGTTCTTTCAGCAATCCAACGGTAGTTGTTCAATCTGGCCAAAAAATAATGAAAAAAAATGAAAAAAAAATCGGAAAAAATTTGAAAAAATACCCAAAAAAATACTGATGTTTTTTCCTATAAATACCAACAAATACTCTTCACTTTTAACACCACCTCTTCATACATTTTCTTCTCATTCTACCATTATTCACTTTGTAGTCAAAAAAATTTTCACTTTGAAGTTGAATTTTTCTAGAAAAATTTATGGGTTCTTCTAGTGAAACCGGAGGGGCATGGAGTGTCATGGAAGATGTTAGCTTGTGTGAGTTTTGGCTCCACATTAGTCATTGTCCCGTATCGGGCAATGAGATGAAATTCTGTCATATGTGGAACCGAAAA